GCTGGCCACACACACACACACACACACACACACACACACACACTAAATAAATAAATAAATAAATAAAAGATAATTCTACATGCATGCTATACATAATTGGGTTCATCCAGGGGAGCTGATAGATGGACATAACACAATTCTTTAATTCCTGTGCCCTCTCTTTTCACCCCCATTTACTCTGTATCTTCTTCCCGTTTGTAAAAGATCTTATCTCCCTATTTCCCATTATGTCTTTTTTTTTTTTTTTAATGTACTTAGTACAGGGTCTCACTATGTAGATCGGACTTGTAGTGATCCTTCTGTTTTCAGCCTCCCAAGCACTGGGATTACAGGTGCGCATCACCATGCCCAGTCTCAATCCCTGTCTTAGTGCACCCCTGGGGCAGGGCCGGCTTGGCTGTGGTGCCGGGGATCAAACCCCAGTTCCCACGCTCTGCCTAAGCAGAGTCTACTGAGCTATTTGGCTGGCCCTATCTGTCTTTTAGTTTGTTCTTCAAACTACTTACACTTTGTGTTTGAAATTTGAGAAACTATATAATATTTAAGCTCATGTGTCTGATTTATTTCACTAAACATGGCCTCAAGCGGCATCCATTTTCCTACAAATGCCTCAGATGTATCCTTTATAGCAGAGTGCTACTCCATCATGTGCATCTACCATGCTTTCATTGTCTGTTCATCTGTTGGCGGGAATGTGGGCTACTTGCAGGATTTCACTGTTATGAATTGTCCTGCTATAAGCCTGAGTAAGCATGGTGACTGTCAAAGGGTATCTTTAACTCCTTGGGGAGAGCTAGGTCAAATGGATTTTCTCTCTTTAGGTTTTTTTGGAATCTCTGTATTGACTCCATCCTTAAGAATATTTTGAAGTGCTGGTTCAGTGCTCATGAATTCCTGAAGGTATTCTTTGTTGTGGGAAGTCCTTATTTCTGCATAGTGTTAAAATAGTTTTGTAGTATGTATTAGTCTGAGTTGTAACTTGTTTCTTTAAGGGCTTGAAACATTTCATTCTTGGCTTTGAAGGTTTGTGTTTGTGCTATAATTCTGAGAGGTTTACCTTTATCACTGGTTTGTTGCCTTTCTATAGGAGCTTTTAAGATTCTGTCCTTGTGTTAGCCTTTTGGGATTTTGACCATCAGGTGTCATGGAGCAGATATTTTCAGGTCATGGATATTTGGATTTCTGTTTGTTTCACTTCCCTGTATGTTGAATTGTTTCTCACACTTTGAAAGTTTTCTGCTATGATTTTTGTAAGAAGTTTTTTAGTGCCATCTTCTCATTCTTCTGTGATTCAAATTGATCTTAGTTTATCTCGTTTGGCATCATCTAGCAGCTGTTGGGTCCATTTCCCATGATTTCATGTTTTAAGAACATCTATGAGTATATGATCACTGATGTTAGTCCTGTCTTCTGTCTAGATCTGTCTTCACATTGGTCGCTTCTGTTGTCCATACTTTCAGGTAACTTTAATCTTCTAGGTTTCTGTTTGGTATCTTAGTTTGAACTGTCATTGTTTGGTAGACTGTTCCTATTTTGAATCGTTTTGATTAGCCCAGCTAGCTTTCTGTCTGATCTTAAGGTCGCTGATCATCTTATTATGGTTTTTTTTTGTTGTTGTTTCTTTTAAAAAAAGTTTATGGGTGCACGTGCGCTCCGCTGCAACTTGCTCCTAACGGCCGCTCCGTGTCGCCATGCCGGCAGATGTCAGCAAGTGGACCGGGCCCTTGAGCCTGCAGGAGGTGGATGAGCAGCCCGAGTACCCACTGCAGGTTGCTTACGGCGGGGTGGAGGTGGACCAGCTGGGCAAGGTGCTGACGCCCACCCAGGTTAAGAACAGACCCACCAGCATTTCTTGGGATGGTCAGGATCCTGATAAACTCTACACCCTGGTTCTGACGGACCCGGATGCTCCCAGCCGACAGAATCCCAAGTTCAGGGAGTGGCACCATTTTCTGGTGGTCAACATGAAGGGCAATGGTATCAGCAGTGGCACCGTGCTCTCCGACTATGTGGGCTTCGGGCCTCCCAGTGGCACAGGCCTGCACCGCTATGTGTGGTTGGTCTACGAGCAGGACAAACCACTCAAATGCAACGAGCCCATCCTCAGCAACCGGTCTGGAGACCACCGCGGCAAGTTCAAGGTGGCTGCTTTCCGCAAAAAGTACCATCTCGGGGCCCCAGTGGCCGGCACATGTTACCAGGCCGAGTGGGACGACTACGTGCCCAAACTGTACGAGCAGCTGTCTGGGAAGTAGGGGCGACTCCAAGGCCACATTGTTCTGGAGACCCCAAGCAGTGTTCTTGATTTCCGTTCAGTGATGCATGTAGGTTTCTCCTTTGTCCCACACCTGAGACCTGAGCTGTCCCTAGTGGTGTAGGGTGACTTTTCCTGCTGCCTGTTCTTTTGGGTTCTAGAGAGTCATACTTCCCAGTTTTTGTTCTGGCCAAATTTGAGCTCTGTTTTGAGGGATATTTTGGTACTGTGGTGGGATCAACATGTTAATAAAAGTATAGCAGTCCATGATTTAAGGAGAAAAAAAGCCAAATGAAAAGACCAGGTATACAGAAAGAGAGCAGATTATCAAATAATCTGTAAGGGAGGCAAAAAAAAGGATTGGTTGTCACAGCCTTCATGAGTCCTGAGTCGTGTTTATCATGGTGCAGGACAGCAGGAGGCTCCCATCTTGGGTCAACCAGGATGGGACGGTACAGCTCTGGCAGCTTAAAAGGTGTGATAGCTTTCTCTGGGTCCTTTAAAGGGCACAGCTGGAAGCAGAGTTGAGGGGGTGGCTCTTTTCTTGCAGATGTCTGACCATCTAGATTAGCAGGGGGTTGGGGTGACAGGTCATCAGGATCCTTAAATTGTCCTCTGAGTTGGTCACTTGTCATTGGTCTCAGAAAAGCTGGGCTAGAGTTGCTTACTGTTGTGTTCATTCTGATGTTTGCTAATTGCTCAATAAAAACGAAAACACTGAAAAAAAATAAAAAGTTTATGAATCTCCAGTCAAAACCAACAGGGTATGTCAGGTACACCTCTCCTGAAGTTTGATCGCTACACTCCCAAGCAGACCACAGGATGCACACCACCTGGAATGTCCCCAGAAGGCTCTGTCATCGACAGGTAACAGAGTAAAACCCCAGAGTCCTTTCTTTCCAACGAACAGGTATAGACAGGAACAGAAGGGACTATTCAAACTTTGTCTTCTTTCCTTGTGGCTTGTGGTCTCCACCTCCTCCCCGGCCTCCTCAGAAGCCACCTCGCCCTCCAAAGCCTCCCCGGCCTCTGCCTTCAAATCTACCTCGGCCATCTCTGCCGCCACCCTAGCCCCTGAAGCCACCTTGGCCGCCTACATGGCCCCCAAAGCCCCTTTCGCCTTTAGGTTTGGCCCAGTCCAAGGTGACTTTGTTTCCATCAATTTCACCATCTTCCATGGCCTCTTTGGCAGCCTTGGCATCTTCCTCAGTATTGAAGTCCACAAAACCAAACCCCTTGGAGGAGCAGTTTCCCGGTTGGTGACAATCCTTGCTCCAGTGGAGCCATCAAATGATTCCTTTAAGGTCTCTTTGGTTGTTTCCTCAGACACACCTTTGACAAACAAGGTTTTAGATGGCAGGCTTCTTGCATTAGGTGACCCCCTAGGTCCTTGCAGCTCCAGTCTGATCGATCTGCCCTCAATTTCCCTTTTATTGCAAGAGTTCAAAGCTTCTTTCGCATCTTCAAGTGAAGCAGATTCTATGAAGGCGTACCCTTTAGATTTGCCGTTTTGGTTCTGGGGCACTTTGATAAAAGTTGCCTTCTCAAATACTTCCTGAAGAGTTTCTTCTGTTGCACTGTAGGAAAGGGTGCTTAAATACGGAGTTTTGGATTTGCTGCCCCAGGTGCTGTTCTTTCCACCTCTGTAGTCTTGATTTTGACCTTTCTCCCCAGTGTAGTAGAGGGAAACAGATCTCCCATCTATCTCTGTTACCTGCTTTTCTTCACAAGTTTTCTCTGCATCAACTTCTGTCTTAAATTCAACATAAGCAATCCCTTTGCTCTTCCCATCCTTGCTGACTAGTCTGACCTCTATGGCATCTTCAGATACTTCTTTTAATTCATCCTGAGTGACTTTGTAAGGGAAATTTAAAAAAAAAATTTTTATTTATTTATGTGTGTGTGTGTGTGTGTGTGTGTGTGTGTGTGTGTGTGTGTCCAGCTCAGCCCACCAGGGGGCAGGGCTGGCTGGCATGTGGTGCTGGGGGATTGAACCGTGGTCCCTGTGCTTTGCTAAGCTTATTCTAAGTAGGTGCTTTAGACCACTGAGCCATCTCACCAGCCCCTGTAAGGGAAATTTTTGGCCAAAAGTGTTCTTGCATCTCCATCTTTCTTGCTGTCTTTTGCTTTGGGCTTCTCTAGTTTAATTTCACTGCCAAAGACTTTTAAACCAGTGAGTTCCAAGGCCTTTTCCAGGTCTTCAGCAGATTGAAAGTCTACATAGCCAACCTATTTGTACCAATTCTGACATCCACAGTAGTGAGATCATTTTTAGCAAAAGCTTCACTAATACCAGTTTTTAGTTCAGGAGTGGATTTGTTAGAATTCAGATTTCCAACAAAGAGATTGAATGCTGTAGTGGGTTCTGTGCCTTCCGTTCTTGGTTTCTTGGCTTCAGGAGCTGCCTTCTGTTTTGCCATTTCCTTCTTTTGTTTGCCAGGTGCTTCTTTGACAGGCTCTTCCTCCTCCTTGTCATCATTCTCATCTTCGTCCTCCTCATCCTCATCATCATCTTCATCCTTATCGTCTTTATCCTCATCCTTGTCCTCCTCCTCCTCAGCCACACTCTTGTTTTTGATGGGGCAGCTTTTGCAGGTGCTTTTTTCCCTTTGGCTGGTGTTGTTTCCATGGCTTCTTCCTCAGAGTCCTCCTCCTCATCCTCCTTGTCCTCCTCGTCCTCCTCATCTTCATCCTCATTCTCCTCATCCTCGTCTTCCTCCTCACTGTTGTCTTCCTCATCCTCATCACTGTCTTCTTTCTTGGCATTTTTGCCGTTCTTTGCCCCCTTGGCTGTGGCAGCAGTGCCCTTCTTACCTGGGGTAGCAACAACAGCTTTACCTGGTGTGGCTCCCTTCTTGCCAGACACTGCAGCTGCCTTGGCTGGAGTCACTGTCTTCTTGGCAGGAGTGGCCACCACTTTCTTCGCTGGGATGACAACTGCCTTCTTGGCAGGTGTGGCAATTGCCACCTTTTTGGTTGGAGAAGCCATTACTTTTTTTGCTGGAGTCATAACAGCCTTCTTTTTTTCTGAGGGATGACAACCTCTTCTCCACTGCTGTCGTCTTCTTCATCGTCTGACATTTCCTCATCATCACTTTCTTCTACCTCCTTTGGGGGAGGTGCCGTTTTCTTTGGGTCACCTTGATTTTTACCAGCCTTTGAGAGCTTTACCATGATGGCAGTTTACAGTGGCTGAGTGTGTGGTGAGCAAGTGGTGCAGATAAGCCTAGGAGACACCTAAGCGCTGTAGATGGCGGCTGCGGCTTCTAAAGACTCAGGAGCGTGTACGCCTGGCAGCCAGCTACAGCTAGAGACTGAGGCGAAAGGCCTTATTATGGTTTGTTTTTTTTTTTTTTTTTTTTATGGTTAGTACTTTGTGTATTGTTACTGCAAAGTAGTTTCTCATATTACAAGATATAGGCAAGAAATAATAAATAAACAACATAGGTACAAACCTCTTTTTTTTTTTTAAAGTCAACAGAAAATGGAAATATACTTTTTAAAGTTTCTAATACTAGGAGAAGATATCATACAATGTCTTTTAAATAAATTGCAAGTCAAAGATACAGTATAAATCTTAGAACAAAAGTTAAGATTAAGCAATATTCAGAAAATTAAATGTTTCAAAACGATTGAACTAAGAAAAAGTTTTCATGATAGCAAAGAAGTACTAAGAATAAAACATAAGATAAATACTGGAATGGCAAGTAAATGACCAGCACTTCTAACAGTTTGAGGATAGGATATCGCATAAAGTTCTAGTGTGTTGTGGACATGCATAATGACCGTGACAGTTACTGGTGGCTAGGCGTCACTTATGGAACTGAGCTACAGCTATTTCTTTGAAATCCACCCTGTAGACTCAGGTGGAATCATGACTCATCAAGTGAAGGGAAGTCCACTTGTAGGGTGTGCTGATAAAAATATTCTGCTGCTGAACACAAAAGAATAACTGAAAGACTACTATTGTAGACCTCTTATTCTCTGCTGTTTAATTGTTTGCCTTATTTGGCGGGTTCTTTCATTCTCATTCATGGGACTATGATCAATTTGCTCCCTCTCTAGAACATCATTTAGTAGTCTGTAGGCTTGGCTTTGTCATCATGAAATTCTTTAGTTGTTCTTTGTCATGAAAATATTTCACTTCTCCATTATATTTGAAAGAGAGTTTTGCAGGATAGATCAGTCTGGGTTGGAATTTGTTTTCTTGCAAGACTTGAAGTACTTTGCTCCATGCTCTTCTTGACTTGATGGTTTGTGAAGAAAAATCTGCCGTTATTCTGATGGGTTTTCCTTTAAAAGTGATCTGTTTCTTTTCTTTAGCAGCTTTTAGTATGCTGTTCCTATGATGAATTTCTGGAATCTTGATTATTATGTGTCTGGGTGTGGTTTTCACTGGATTGATACTATTTAGAGTTCTATATCCTTCGATTACAGGAAGGTCAGATTGTTGCCCCATATTTGGGAAGTTTTCTGCTATTACTTCTGCCCATATTCTTTTTATATCATTTGTATTGACTCCTTCCTTCTCATTGATGCCTATTAGTCTCACATTGTTCATCTTTGCATCGTCTTGCAAGTATTGAATTATTTTTTCCTGCATCCTAGTTGTTTTAAAGAGATCTTTTCTTACTTTTTCACTAGCTGCAATGGTGTCTTTCAGGTCAGAAAGTCTATTTTCACTTTCCCTCAAACGGTTTTGCCAGCTTGTGATTGAGGTTTTAATTTCCTGTATATCACTTTGAACCTGTTTCATAGATTCTCTTTCTTTCCTAAATTGTTTATTCAGGGGTTCCATCATTTTTATATTCTCTATTTTTCTATCAGTGTATTCTTTAGAAGCACTTAGTACTTCTTTGATTATAGTTACCACTACATTTTTTATTTCCAAAATTATTTCTGATCTGATTTCTTCTATACCTTTCTGCAGTTGATTCTTTACTGTCAACGCTATTATTTCTGAGATATCTGGCATGTGATTTCCAGTTTCCTCAGTGCTAGTGTCTTCTGCATTTGTACTGGGTGGACTCGGGGTCTGAGACTGCATTTTGTTCCTTCTCTTTGTCATTTTGTATACCACTGTCTTCTGACCTTCGGTGTAGAGCTTAGATAGAGTTATTACCTTAGCACCAAGTCTGCATCTATGAAGTTCAGATTCCTCCAGGTGGGTGTTGCTTGGATCTGGCTGCTGTGCTCCACTTCTTTCTGCTGCAGCCATTAGAGTTGAACCTTTTGTGTCTCTCTGGCAAGATGTTCTGCTCCTGAATCAGCTGGGTGGGTCTTGCCGCTAGCCTCTTTGCAGGGAGTTCAGCAGAAGGGTTCTGTGCTGGACCTGCGCTCTGGATCTATTCAGGATCCAGAGGACCCCAGGTTGTCTCACTCACTTGCAGGGCCTGTGCTCTGGGTCTGTTCAGGATCCTCTGGCCTGGGTCGTCTCACTCACTCTCCGGGCCTGCGCCCTGGGTCTATTCAGGATCCTGCGGCCCCGGGTCATCTCACTCACTCGCCAGGCCTGCGCTCTGGGTCTGTTCAGGATCCTGCAGGCCCCCGGTCATCTCACTCACTCGCCGAGCCTGCGCTCTGGGTCTGAAAGGCCTTATTATGTTTATCTGCATAGTTATGCTCTCTTTGAGCTCACTCAGCACATTATTAATGTTTTTCCTTCAATTTTTTCCCCTCTATGGCCTCATATAATCTAGTTTCGTTTTGTGAAAAGCCTTCCCACTGATGCCTTTTGGAGCAGTTTTGGGGGAATTGGGAGTTTGGAGTACATTTTATTGCCTCATTGCCCCATATTTTTATGTGCTGCGGGTTGAGGATTAATTAGGCAACTCTGTTGGAGATCTGTTTATTTTTTTTATTTTTTTTTTAAACATTTATTTATTTATTGTGTGTGTGTGTGTGTGTGTGTGGCCAGCTCAGCCCACCAGGGGGCGGGGCTGGCTGGCATGTGGCACTGGGGGATTGAACCATGGTCCCTGTGCTTTGCCAAGCTTGTTCCAAGTAGGTGCTTTAGACCACTGAGCCATCTCACCAGCCCCATGGAGATCTGTTTAGTTGATATCTAAATTGCAGAGATCCAATCTTGGCTTTGGTTACATTTTAGTATTTATCTACTGCTAAGCCTACTCAGTTTAATGGCATCAGATCCAATCATTGTGTTTCAAGGAGAAAATCCCTTCCAGTTATATCAATATCAGATGTACCCTCCCGTATACCATCGTGCATTATAAAATGTTTTAACAGCTTTAACCTTTTGTCAATGCCGCAGACAGACTATAGTTAGTATATGGTTACTGATAAACTGGGATGTGGATAGAAGGGGACGGAAAAAGGAAGTATGTAAGTAAAAGAGAAATGGCAGGGACTGGGGAGATAGCTCAGTGGCATAAATGCTTGCCTGGCAAGGGCAAGGTCCCAAGCTTGATCCAGGGTTCCACATGCTGTGCTGGCCCCAGAACCAGGTGTGGTGGTGCATGCCTATAATCCTAGCAGTAGGAGGCTGAAACAGGAGGATCACTACAGGTCAGCTGCATAGCAAGACCCTGTATCAAAAATTAAAAAATAATAAGAAGCAAAAAGAGAAATGTCGTGTGTTGATGCACACCTATAATCCAGTCCTTGGAGGGGAGGCTGAGGCAGGAGGATCACTGCAAGTTCAAGACCAGCCTGGACTACAAAGTGGGCTCAAGCCCAGTCTGAGCTACATAGCAGGACCCTGTCTCAAAATGACAAAAAATGAGAGCAAGAGAGACAGAATGGGTAAATAAGGAGAGTGGGTAAATAAGAGTGAGGAAAAAGAAGAAAACACAAAAGAAGCTCGAGGGTTGCAAAATTTTTGCTGTTGGTCCTCATCCTCAGCCTGTCTTGCATGTTTCTCCTATCTTCGGTGTTAATCCATTATAATATTGCTAATGAGCTCATTAAGAAGTTGCTCTAATGCCATTGACATAGTTAATAATTAGAGTTGTCTCATCCCAGTGCTTGAGGAATTACAATGGGCATGTGTGAAATTGCCCTGCGTGCAGTGTGTCAGTATTCCAAGTTGCCATACTTTATGTGTTTATAGTTGGAGCTGGAAGTCCTACCTCAGTGCTTATTCAGGATTTAATCCTCTCTGTCTCTTTCCCTCTCTCTCTTAATCACATTTTTTGTTTTTCACTTTTTACAATAAGTTTCCTCAGGTAGATTAGTAATGTTCTTAGTTTTTATCCTGTATATTATGAGTGGGTGGCAATTTTATTTTTTTATTTTTTTGGCAGAACCAGGGATTGAACTCAGGCCTTGCCGCTTGCCAGGGAAGTGCTTATTCTACTGAGCCATCTCCCTGGCCCCTAATTTTATTTTTATGTATCATCCTTTATCTGATGTGAGATTTTTTTTTTTTTTTTTTTTCTGGAGCTGGGGATTGAACTCAGGCCCTTGTGCTTGCCAGGGAAGCGCTTATTCTACTGAGCCATTTCCCCAGCCCCAGATGTGAGAATTTTTGACTTAAATTGTATTGTATTTCTTATGACAGTTTGGTTTTAAATGTACATTTGTAGAATTGTAATAGCACTCTGCTGTCTTTTGGTTACTTTTCCATGTAATATAGCCATCCTGTTTCTTCTGTTCTTTTTGGGCCCTTACATATAAAAAGAATCTCCAGAAGGTAGCATATATTTGGAGTCCTTTAACGTACTTCTCATTAGCTAATTTATTATTATTATTATTATTTATTTTTTTTTTTTTTTCAGAACCGGGGATTGAACTCAGATCCTTGTGCTTGCCAGGGAAGCGCTTATTCCACTGAGCCATCTCTCCGGCCCTATTATTTTAATTAGGAGTTGAATCTACTTAACTTACTGAAAAGGAAGAAATCCATATTGCCCTTTGTTGTTTTCTGTATTTCTTTTTTTTT